TGGCCCCTGCAGCCATGCCACCAAATCAGGCAGCAAACCTTCAGCCACCCTTCCTGCTGGAACCACAGGAGCTCCTGGGCCCAGAGCAGGCAGCAGGCCACAGGTATGCAAAATCCACCTGCACGCTCTGAACTGGGGCACCTGCATTTGGGCTGCTGCAGGGGCTGATCTTTAAGGCTTGCAGCCTCCAAAGGCTCTGGCCTCTGCTTCCCAGCCTGCTCTGCACTGCCCTGAGCTTGCATTGTTCAAGATAAAAGAGCCAAACCAGGGCACCCTCACCCTGCCCGCATTCCTGCTGCTGCCAGCGGCCACTGGCCCCTGGGTCCCACTCGGGTGACAGCTGCAGGGACAGGGCAGGCTGTGCTGGGCAGGGGGCACGGGGCTTTGGGCCCTGGGGCTGCTGCTGCTGCTGCTGGGGGCCATGGGCCCAACAGGGCCCCGAGCTCAGCCCCTGCGCGGGCAGCTGCCCTCAGAGCCCCACACTCCCCAAGCATCCCCATCACAGCTGCCAGGGGGAAATCCCATGGGCTTCAGGAAAGAAATTCCCCATACTGGCAAAACCAAAGGGTCCAAGGGGAAAGTCAGCACCAGCTGATGTTTACAGGACCTTTACAAAGGTGGCTGCAGAGCAGGTGAGATCTCCAGGGCCTCTGGCAGTGCCTGCTCTGCAGGTGCGGCTCTGGGCCTGCTCCCAGTGGGACACAGCACCTGGCTCAGACCAGCCCTCAGCCCCTCGCAGGTGATCCCAAGGAGCAGGCTCAGAAAGCAGTTTCAGACCACTTGCTGCAGATATTTCAAAGGACTAAATGTCATTCAAAGAAGCCACCTTGCACATTTAGTTTTGGTGTTTGGGCATGAGAAGCCATGTAGGTGCCTCTGAATGTGCACTCAGGGCACTTCCACTGCCATCCCAAAGGGAACACAAAGGACAGGCCTCTGCTTTCAGCACTACTGAGCTCCTCACCCAGCAATGATATCTCAGGAAGTAGTAATTTTGTGGAGGTCCAGGGGCCTACCACTGGAACTGCAATACCTCAGGGCAAAGACAATGAATTAAAGTGAGACACTCCTCTGAATGCAATGGTCTTGCCCAATGGCTTTTGCATGCTTATGGGGATTTGAAAGGGTTTATTGGTATTATGAACTTCATTTTTTCCTTATATGTACTCCACCTATGATGTTCTCACCTCTCTTTTCCCCTGTTGGTCCTGGGTTGCTGCATATAAGACCCTTTTATCCCCCATATAAACCCTGTGTTCCCAGTCCCATTTTGTCTCTGGCCCTGGACCCTCTTTAGCACAATCCACAGTGTTTGGAGTTCCACACAAAGACCCCTCTCTTGCCTCATTCATCAGCAGTTTAAGCAAGCCTGCTCCCAGCTCTGGGAGTGCAGGCCTCTCACAGAGGCTGGCTGTGGACACGTCACAACAAGTGGTGCCCAAACAGGGACCTTCTTTGAGAATTCCCTGAGAGCGACTCCAGTGACGATCCGGCTGTGCCACCATCACTGGACAGAAAACGCCTCGGGTCAGCCTCCGCCCTGGAGTGGGACCTGAGTTTTATCAGGGCTTGCTGAAGGCAGCGTCGGTGCCCTCAAGGGGCAGGAGGGCCAGCTCAGCTGGTGAAGCCCATGGGACATTTTGAAACACCGGCATCCAGAGCCGCCAGAGCAGTGAGTTGGGGAACAGCTGCCTACAGTGCAGGATCCTTGGGTGATAGTTTAGTCCTGTGGGTGAGCGACCCTTTACATCAGGAGCAGCTATGGGTAACAAATTATCCAAAGCTGAGATGGGCATATATGTTTCAGTTAGGGAGGTTCTCCTTTCAGAGGGGAAGACTTTTACTAAGGGAAGTTGGAAGCCTTTTGTTCATTGGCTCTTTAAGGAGTTCCCAGACATTTCTGTTGATTCAGTTCTTCATGGAGCATTTTGGGACTCAGTTAGGGGAACACTCTGGCTTTTGCAAACTCAGGGGGTGGTAAGATTCACAAAATTTTTCCCACTTTTTCACATGATTTATGGAGTTTTCTCAAGGGTTCAAAGTTTTAATATTCAACCCAGATTTTGTGCTCTGCCCCCAGCATTCCTGAACCCCCTGACACCAAGATTAGGATGAGAGACAGAAACTGCTCCAAAGCACAGATGAGCCACCTGCTCTCTGCCATCTCCCCTCCTTCTCTACCCTCTGCCCAGGTCTGTACTGAACACATCGGCCTGGATTCTACCCTAACCCATTCTCCAGTAACTCTTCTCCCTGTATGCCCTTCAGATAGCTCACAAAATCCAGTCCCTCCACTGGGACGGGATGCCAATGTCAAAATCCCTCCCACCCCCGGCTGTCTCATTGGGTCATCCCCCGTGTGAAAAATGCATATATTTCATGATTGGCTTTTCGCAAATATTAAAATGAATATTATACGTGTTGTGTTAGAAAGCAATGATGTATTAATTTTCTTAAGTCCTGTGTTAAATATAGTTTTAGTTTATAAAATTTGCTAAAATAGAAACTATGCTATGTAAGATGCTTTGTTTAAAAGAAAGGACTTGCAGCATGATAGCAGCCACAGGACACCTAGATCTTTCAGAGAAAAAGAATTTATTGCCTTCTTATCAGAAGAAACGAACTTCTTCCCGCCTCGAATGTGCTATTAGGATTAGAGGGAAGAAGTTGATACTGACCAGACAGAATGCTGTGTTTGAATAGAATTTATGCATCATGTATGAAGTGCATGAATATGCAACCGGCTATTGTTTTTAAGGGTTAATGCTTTGTTAACGGGTGTCCTTTTTCGGGCTCGTGATGCCCAAAAAATGTACCCGGACGTCCGTAAGTCTCTGTTTTTATTGCCTCATATTGTCCAAATTCAATTTGTCCAAATTGTTATTACTCTAATTGTGTTACTATTTTTATAACCATTTTATTACTATTAAACTTTAAAATTGTAAAAACAAATGATTGGCGTTTTTCACAGTGAAAAACACGTTTGCTCTCCTGTTAAAATGTACAAAGTTTAATAATGGACAATGGGAGACCAGGACCATGGAGCAAAGGTTATTATGGCCGGGTGCATCTTGGCACTCAGCCAGGAGCACCCTGTTACCTTTGGGGATCCCCCTGAAATACCTTTCCCTTACATATGCCTGTTGCATATTCACAGACCCTCATGCATATCCACAAACTACTTTACATATTCCAGGAAAGATTTTACATGGCCCCTCTTGGGTCTGCCTTTTCAGAGCATGTGTGTTTCTTGGCTGTGGTTTTGGCTCCTTCTCTTTATCACTGCCAGTTTTTGGGCCTTGGTCCACTCTGCCTTCAGACGGGGAGTGCTGATAGTTGGCAGATCTGTACAGGTGTCCTCATCCTGTGTGCATTGGATGTGATCCCATCCAAGTAGGCAGTTAAACACAAGCAGCTATTCCACTGAGCGTAATTAATAACAGAAATAAAAACTGTATCTTTACAACAAAGTTACTTTAACACCGCACATATAAAATCCATTTTAATATTTGCGAAAAGCCAATGTTTTAATATGTATCTTTAACATTGCCCATATCTTTCCTTACCCTTTGGTTCTCCTGAGTGCAGCAAGGAGCGGGAACTGCCAGCACGGCACGGAGTTGCTGCCGTCTCTCCATCACCCCGTGTCCCTCTCCCATAAGAACCTGAATGAGAGATGTGGGACTCGAGGCAGCTCTTCAAAATACAGTTTATTGTATCCAAGATGTCACAGCAGTCCAGGGTTGTGGGTGGCAGTGCCTGTGCCTACAGCTGTCAGCTCCAGCTGCACACAAGCCTGGAGACCCTTTAGCTTTGGTTACAGTGCATTATATACTCTTTTTTGCTGAGCATCTTCACACAGAAGAACCAATCTATACCTTTAGTTTTACCTATAGCCTATCATAACTCCTGTAATTACCATATTGATGTTACTATTCTCCAATCACTAAAAGTTAGTATGTGTGTCTCCCTGCCTGTCCTGAGAAGCCCTGATTCCCTGGAGAGCACTGCTTTTGGCCTTTGTCCATGGAGAAAGCTTTCAAGGCTTTGGGATGAACTGGAATCTACGATTGTGTGAAATAGATAGTAGTGTAGTTTATCACAGGGTGAAAAACCGAGAGCTTTGGGATTTTAGTATGAGGGTGAACAGAAGACAGGATGGAGGATTTTGGGCATTGTCTGATCTCCTTGTCCTTCATCTACTCCATTTTCTGCTGTGTTGGGAGCACAGAGTGATTGGTTGGAAAGAGCTGCAATGCAGATGCTGAGGGGCAGACAAAGAATTAGTTACTGGCTGAAAGGTAGAAATAAAATGCATTCTAAGATTTAATTGGACAAAATCATTTTAAAAGACCTTGAACCTGTGTGTCTTGTGACTTTTGGTGCCTTCTCTTTGTACGCTAAGTCTGGTGTGCAGCTGGCGTGCTGAACTGTTGATAAGAGAAAAATAAACAACAACCTAAAGCCCAAAAAAACCAAAAGTCCCGTTCGTTTCTCAGTCCTGGCACAGAACTTTTTAGGGGTGTCCCCATCAGTGGATTCTCGGGGGGGTTTCACACCTCCATCCCTCCCCCCCTTCCTGCCCCACTGCTCAGCCCCCTCCAAGCTCTGCACCCGGGGCCCTCTCCGCTTCACAAAAGGACCCAAAATTATCCCAAATCCACCCAAAATTACCTCAGAGCCCATCCTGAGGAGCTCTGGGGGAATTTTAGGGGGGTTTTGAGAGAATCTGGGGAGATTTTGGCTGGGTTTGAATCCTACGTTAAATTTGTTGTCCAGAAGGTACCAAAACCATCCAAAATCCACCCAGAATCTACCCAAAATTACCTGAAATTAACCCAAAATTACGTCCAAATCTATCCTGAGGAGGTTTGGGGAAGACTTGGAGGGATTTTAGGGGAATTTTAGGGGGAATTTTGGGTGGGTTTGAATCCTATGCCCACTTCGGCATCCACAATGTACCAAAATCACCCAAAATTACCTGGAATTAACTCAAAAATTCATCCTGAGGGGGTTGGGGGGAGGTTTGGGGGGGGGGGGGGGAGTTGAGGAGATTTGGGGGTTTTGGGGGGGATTTTAGGGGTGTTTTTGGCAGTCATCATCATCCAAAACACAACACCCCATGCCAAAGCCAAGACCAAACCCTAAGGACTGTGCCCCTCGTGAAGAGGAGATCAAAGATCTGCACCCCTTCTGGGGTGGAGATCAAAAGCCAGAGGAGATTGAGCTATTAACTAAGCAAAAATGTATTCATTTCATTAAGGATCATAATTTCTGTTTCTTTATCCTTTGTGATTAGGTCTGGAATGCTTTTCTATTCCTTGTTAATTTAGATGAATAATATCCATTTTGGTTTCGTAAATGATTAAGTCATATTCCTGATGTTATATATGAGGTCCCACATGTCTAATTTAATAAACCACAAACTTAAAATTTAGCAGCAGTTTTACTGAGATAAAATAATACAATCAAATAGAATCCAGTAGTTACAAAAAGAAATTTGGCAGTGGTTCAGATAAAGCATAAGCAAAACTGATTGATCGGGGTATGGGGAGGGCTTCCCACCCTGCCTCACGTGCAAAAGGCAAAAGGATCCAAACACAACTTATATACTGTGTGCTAATACATATTCATCAATATTTTCCTGTAAATCTCCTCCTATTTCCAATTCCTGAAATCTGCATCACCACACACACACAGCGCATGCTCCCGCTGGGGCTAAGGGGGCTTCTGGCTCTTTGGTGCTCTTCTTGGAGGAAGGCCGACAGTCTTCCTCGCTGTCCTCTGAATAACCTGACAGGTTGTGCCTGTGCCCCAAATCCTGTGTTATGTAAGTGAGCACTATGCTCCAATTAAGCCTCATTATTTTATAGACAAGAGCACTATTTTAGACTCTCTGTCTGGAATTGTCCCAGCGTTATTCATGTCACGGCTGATCCTGTCCTAGGAGTTGTCTTAACTTTGTCTTGATGCCAATTCTGACTTGGAAGGCTTCCTAAATTTTGTTCATCAAGGCCATTCCAATCTCCTGTATCCTGTTTCCCACAGGTATCATCTACAAAGAAACTCATTTCTTTCATAACATTAATCACATATACCTTTCCAATTATTTTCCAAAAATATTGAAATAATTACAATTTTGTTAGAACTAATCACATCCATTTATCACAGGAGGCCAAAGCTTGGAAAAGGATGAAAGAAATGCTCCGAGGATGACGATGACAAAAAAATCCCAATTTATTTTTGACAGCAAATGAACACCGACCGCCCTCCAGCCCTCCCAGCCTGGCAGGCTGAGCGGGGCCGTTCCCATGGCATGAGGTGCTGGCAGCCTGCAGAGAGAAACCAGAGAGCCACGGTCAGTCGCAGCAGGCTCCTGTGCCCCTGTCCCATCATGGCTGTGCCTGGGCCAGGCTGCTGGCTGTGCTCAGAGCCCAAACCTCCCAACCCATTCTCTGTTTTTAGAGAAGGGCAGCGTGGCAGGGCACATTCCACCTCCTCTGCTTAATCACGGCACAGCAACCTCCTCAGCAGCTGCAGGAGTGGGATGCCCGTGTGCCCGCTGCCGCCTGCCCGGAGCCCTTCTGCCAGCCGAGCTGTGGAGCCGGGTGCCCACCTCTGGAGAGCTGCTGCCAGGAGAGGAGCCCATCCCGCACCAGGTCCTCGTCCTTCTGGAAGGGGCTGTCCCTGCAGACCGTGGCCCCTGGGGCAGCGCTGGCACTGGACGCGCTCCATAGATGCTGCAGGTGCTTCCCCATCTGGGCACCAGGTGTAATCCTTGTGGAGGATTTTATTAAGAGTTGGTTAGCTGAGAAAGGCCATACTGACTTAATGCCGCTGGTTAAGCTTGAAAGGGAGGTCAGCAGTCTCTGATTCAGTGACTGCTGACAAGCAAGAATGCTGGATGGCCTTGCTGCAACATGAGGAAAGGGAGGTGAGATTAGTCCTGAATATCTGCAGAATGTAACAGAAGAATAAGCACAAGAATGTAGAAGTAGGTGTAGTTGTTGATATGTAACTAACCAATCCTGAGCTCAACTTTTGCAATATGTATGAAGCTTATTAAGAACTATATTTAACCCGCCATATTCGATCAATAAATCGGACTTGGATGAACCAATTGGTGTCTGGGTCTCCTTCCTCCGACAAATGGTGGAGAATGCGGGCAAGCACTCTGAACGTTCGCTCTCTTGGATTATAAATTCGCCACGGTGGAGGAAGTTGGGTGAGAGTCCTTACAGCCGGGACGGTGCCGGATTTTAAAAGCACCCTTGAGGATCACAAAGGTGACTCAAGTCTCTACGTGTCGCCGAGAGCCTGGAAGGCTGCAACAGCGCGCGCTGATATATAGGTATGGATAGGCAAGCGACATACGATCCCTTCTCCTCATATTTAGAAAGGCGAGGAGTAAAAGGGGTAGATTTAAAAAAGGAATTACCAGGGTTATTAGCTTATGGTCATTCTAAAGGAATTTTTGCTAATTCACATACAGTTCATGAGATAGTAGAGTGGAAAAAGTTTGGGGATATCCTGTGGGATACAGTGTTAGATGATGATAAGTCAGCAAAGAAATTTGGCAAGTTATGGCGGGTGGTGTATCATACGTTACTTCAGCAGGTCTCTGAGAGAAAGGCAGCAGAAAGGGCGACAGAAGCTCATAAGAGGAATATAGGGTATGGTCGTGAGGATGATCCCTTAGCACCTTCTGTAACTCAGATACTTATGCCTAAGGGTCCCCAGCAAAATGGTGTGGAAAATTTTCCCTTAGATACAGTGGAACCATCTGCACCCTTCCTGTCAGAGGGGGAGGGCAAGTTGGATGGTGGAGGTGGGAGCAAGCCAGCTTTGCCTCCGCCGCCAGCTTCAGGCGGGTCGGATGGTGGGGGTGGGAGCAAGCCAGCTGCGCCTCCGCCGCCACCTTTGCCTCCGCCGCTTCCCTCGAGCGGGCCGGCTCCCGGGGGGCCACTTCCCCGCGCGAGTCGACTCCGGTTTCACTGTCAGCTCCAGCAGCGGGGGGGCTGCTTCCCCCGCGCGAGCCGGCCTCAGCGGGGGGGCCGCTTTCCCCGCGCGAGTCAGCTCCTGCTCCACCGCCTTCCCCGTGCGAGAACTCGGTCTCGGTACCGAAGTGCCAGCAGCATAGCACCCTTAAAGGGCCAGATCCTATCCCGGGGGCACACAGTGACCTATGGGGGGAGATGGCTAAACAGAGAAGGGAAGCTTGGGCTGCTGTGGCAAAAGTAGTAATGCAAATGGGGGATGGCGAGGTGGTGGAAGTAGCTTCTAATCTTGCATGTCCGGTCACATACACACCACAGTATGATGCACAGGGGAACCTTATGCATAATATAGCGGAATATAATCCCTTAGATTGGAAGATGTTAGCTCAATTACGTTCTACGGTTAGTTTGGAGTAAACAGTGAACCTGTTAGGCAAATGCAAGAGTGTTAGCTACTTTAGGGGCAAATTGGACTATTGAGGAAGCTTTAGAGCGAATGGCATTAATGCCAACAGCTTCACAGGCATTTATAGCAGAAACTTTAAAGGAATTAGGATTAGGGTTACAAAAGCAAGCAGAGTCTACTCAAAATCCGGTGTTAGCTGCTCAGAATCAGGTGTTAGCTGCTCTTGCTCCTCTCCGAAGCGGCTCACTGGCGGACACGCAGAGCTCGAGACCATTCATCAAGTGTTACCGATGCGGCAGTGAGGGACATACGCGCCCAGACACAAGTAGCTACCGTGACATCGGAGACACCAGCTGCCGACGCAACATCGCTGTCACCTCCTGTCTGCAACCAGCAACAGCAGAGAGCCTCGATTTGGATTTATCAGCAGCAGTAGACGTCACACTAATGACGAACCGGCCTGAGAGGATACAAACTGGAGTAAAGGGTCCTCTTATATTAAATGGATAAAGATGTGGAGCATTATTATTAGGATGTTCTTCAATAACTATGCTGGGATTATTTGTATTGCCTGAAGTTATCGATGAGGATTATACAGGGGAAATACAAATTATGGTTTACACCCTTTATCCTCCTATTAGAATAACAAAAGGACAACGCATTGCACAATTAATACCACTATCACAAATGACATCTGGTATACCATCATTTACTGGACAAACGCGGGATGAAAAGGGTTTTGGCTCTACTGGTGTTACACTTTTAACTGTGGATTTACAAAACAGACCAAAACAAAAAGTGGAAATTACCCATGGGCATCAAAGCATAACCCTTTATGGATTATTGGACGCAGGAGCTATTACAGCTTTTACAGATGCAGGAAAGAAATCAAGGCGTGCTGCTGTCACCTGGCAAGAAAAAGGACAATGGAAGCATCAACTTCTCACAACAGACCCTACAGATAGCTTACAAACTTTGGAATTGTTACCAGTAGTATGGGCAGTGTCCAACTTACAGGAGCCTTTAAATGTGGTCACAGACTCTATGTATGTTGCCGGAGTAGCCAGACGAATAGAGGAAGCAGCAATTAAGGAAGTGAATAATAAACGATTGTATGAGTTATTGATACAATTAAGGAAAGCTTTACGAGAAAGAAGTGCAGCGTATTCTGTGATTCATATTAGCAGCCATAAATGGTCTGAAAATTTAGGAAAAGGGAATGAACGTGCAGACAAATTGGTTACTTTACCCATTGATAACTCTTGTCCTATTGATAAGCATACATTGGCCAGAGAAGCACATAGTAAATATCATCAAAATGCAAAGGGATTAGCAAAGCACTTTGAGCTGAGTTTGTCAGAAGCTAAGGCTATTGTTAGAGCATGTCCAACATGTAGTTATCATAATGGTGGAATAGGTTTAGGCACTGGAGTTAATCCTCGATGTTTAGAAATAAATGAGAAATGGCAAATGGATGTTACACATATAGCTAGATTTGGTAAAGTTAAGTGTGTGCATGTCACTATAGATACATATAGTCATTACATATGGGCTACGGCTCAGGCAGGAGAAAAAGCTATACATGTTATTAGGCATCTGTTAAGTTGTTTCGCTGTCATGGGAGTTCCAAAGAGTATCAAAACGGATAATGTTTGAGCTTATGTAAGTGCTAGGGTCCAGAAATTTTTAAATCAGTGGTCTGTTAAGCATGTGACAGGTATTCTACACTCTCCTACTGGATAGGCAATAGTGGAAAGAGCAAATGGTACCCTTAAGCAGTATATTGAAAAGCATCAAGATATAAAGGACCCACAATCATGTTTAGCTAAGGTTCTGTATGTGATCAATCATTTATGTATTTTTGGGGAAGACGATATCCCTCCTGCAATTAAACATCATCTGAGGTCAGGTCAGGAAATTAAAACCCGACTACAGGATTATGGGAAAAACCTGCAAAATTATTATACTAGGGTCGGGGATATCTTTGTGTTTCCTCACCTACAGGACCTTTGTGGGTGTCTGCTAAGTGGACTAAACCTGTTTTTGATGCAGCCTCTGGTGGACTGTCTCACAGAGGAGGACAAGGAGCTACTGGAGAAGAAACTGTTTCTAATCCTACGATCACTACTGTTATAGTTGAAGGCACACTTGAAAGCGGTGGACAGAGCACTGACACGTCACTATCGGACGGCCCAGGAGCCGATTGGTTTTATTGACTCATTATCAACTTTTCATTTAACAAATCCAGCAAAAGAACATTGCATTGACTGTCACGATCCACATTGTGCTGCCTGGATAACCCTACCTTGTAGTGGTTGTGATAGAACTTTTTGGATAGAACAATCATTATTATGGGATTTATGGTGTCACACTTGTGAGCATGAGCACACGTGGGGTAAAAGCTGGCAAGATGAATTAAGGAGACAAACAGGGCTAAATGCATATATAGCTTTAAATCTTTATGAGTCTCCTGAACAGAAAATTCTTGCTTATTATCGATGGGAAGTACAATGTGTTGTGAATAGAATTAAGGTTCAAGGTAAATCATGTATAGTCTCTGTAAGGTGTAGAAAATTAGTACCTTTAACGCAACGTTTGATTGTAGGGCGTTTCAGGGGGAATCCTGAAAGAGCATTAGATCATTGCATTGAAAGGTTGCAAAAATTAAGTTTGCAAGTAACAGTACCAGTAAAGTTAGGAGCAGCAAAACTGAAAACAGATAAGAAAAAGAAGGTAAGATAGGGAACAACCTCATCTAAATAAGACTATTAGTGATTGCTAATTAGTTTTCTATGATTAGGGCAATTTCACATCTATGGGACCCTGCCTTGTGGGATGCTGTAGCTCCATGAGACCCTGCTTCGTGGCATGCTATAGGTGTTGAAGAACAAGAACAGCGATTACGAGATAAGATACATTTTGTATTAAAGAAGGAGCTTGAATTGGTAGCCGTATATAGTAAGAAAGCTGAAGAGGCTTTGCAATCACCACCATTGAACTGGTTGGATTAGATCACACAAACAAATTTTAATACTGATCCTTTCCTATATACACTTCCTTGTTATGTTTGCAAAAAGGATAATAATAAGTGCTATGCTTGGGTAGCTTTGCATTGTGCTGATTGCAATAAGGTTTATTGGTATTCACAGAGGACAGTAGGAATTTTATGGTGTCACCCTTGTTTTGGGAAGTGGATTCGATATTCTTTCTGGTTTAGATCTCTTGAACAAAGTACTGGCCTGCCAGGAAGGGCAGGATTAGAGCTTTTTGAGAGTGCAGAACAAGTGGCTATAGCATATATTAGATGGAAATTACAGCAAGTACTTAGAGAGCTTGAAATTACTACATCCTCACG